CCCCCCCCCCCCCCCCCCCCCCCCTGTCTCTGTCTCCCTCTCTTTCTCTCTCGCCCCCGTCTCATGATATATATATTTTCTCCATTGGTTACGCCGTCCTGCAGTCTCAGCGTTGGAAGCAGGCGAGGGTGATTCTCGACTTTATGCGAGACCCCAACAACGTTGCAACGATCGAATGCGGAGACCTACTCTTCCCTGTCCTGGACATCAACGGCGCAAGCACCGACCTAAAGGACCTAACGGTAGTGGTGGACGGGCTAGGACGGAAGAACGGAGAGGTTACCGTTGACGATAGAGCCGTTGGGTTGCCCTCGACGATGACCACCTCCAGCAGCAGTAGCAACCAAGACAATGGTGGGGGCGCCGTGAAGCGACGGCGGACGAGGGAGGGGGGGTCTTGGCCTCCGCGCCCGGACGCGGTCAGCTTTCACACGGTCATGAAGGCGTTAGCAACAGAGGGGATGTGGCACGAGGCGGTGGAATTGTTGGAGGAAATGGTGGAAGAAAGGTGAGTTATGCCGGTGTTAAGTTCAGTAGCGGAAGGAAGTAGTACGAAGGCACATTCCACAGGTTTCCCCGGCGGTGAGAATTGCTGTTAAGGCGCTGCGAATATCTGCTGGAGCTTTCAAAATCGCTCTTCATGGCAATTCAACTGGCCATCCACATGCTATAAGGAGACGCCCATATATTCGGAGATAGAACTATTACTTTTTTGGGTGCCGTCGTTGAGTTGGTTCGATCGTTGTAAAGTCATGGCTCCGATAAAAGAGGTTCACGCATAAAGAGGGGTCTCCGATATACGAAGGTCGAAATTGCTCGTCACGGACTCGACCCTCTAGACAATAGTGTAGCGTACGTTATTTTTCCGATATAGGAGGGGGCTCCCGACATATGTAAATATATATGAGGGTCGAGAGGGCCGTTGTCACACCACCCTCTTCTGTGGGAGCCACGACTTGTACCATACCATACTTGTATTTTTGCAGCTTTGCCGTTGGCGTCCCCGCGCTTCACGACCGTTGACCGATACAACCGTTGATACGACCGTTGTCCGGTCGGCAGGCGGCGGTTCCTTCGGTCCGACGAGGCCTTTCTGGAGACCACCGTGGGGGGGAGGGGGGGGCGAGGCCAGCAGCAGCAGCAGCAGCAGTGGCCGGTCAACATCGACCGGTTTCGTGGGGTCTTCGAGATGGAGCTCAAGAACAACGAGGTCGTCGGGCACGAGCAGCGGGGGGGCTGGTCGAAGTTCGAGGTCTCGCCTCAGGTGTCCCTGAGGGCGAAGGCCATGGACCTGCTCATGGTGATGGAGAGAGAGGAGAAGGAGGCGCGCCTCAAGAGGCAGACTCTGTACGACAACATCGCACGCCGGTAGCTGGTCTGGTTCGTTCGCTTTGGTCTAATTACCCTGTGGGGGGTATTGCTGGCGACCCCGGGTTGCACGTATAGGTAACCTACGACCGTGAGACAAGCCCGCTCCGAGCCCAGGGTTACAGTACCCTTGCACGGAAGTACAACGTTAGTGCTTCATGTCCAAGGTTGGTATTTGATCTGAAACGATTGGCAAGTTGTGTTTGTCCTCTGGTTGGGGCTGGCTCGTCTCCTAGCTGTGTTTATCTCTGCTTGGGGCTCTCTCTATTGAGACGAGCCCGCTCTGATCCCATTGCTTACAGTAGTACACAATGTTTCATGTCCAAATTTGGTATTTGATCTGAAATGATTGGCGAGTTATTTTCATGTCTGCTTGGAGCTGGCTAGCTTCAGGGCTTGTATGCGCCGATGTTGTCCGTGGATGACCACGGGTTTTTTAATTTGGTGGGGTGGGATATGTTCTCGACAGAGAGGAGAGGAAGAAAGACTTGTCACGGGAGCGGATGGTCTTGGTTGCTCTGGTCGAATCAGTGTTCCAGCTAAGGCATGGAATCGGCCTCCCTTCAGGCCAGGCCGACCTACGCTTGAGGTAGGCGTGATGCGCTCAGTTTTGCACATTTTAGTATTTTTTTCTTGTATGTTGCGGATATGTTGAGTACGGAGAATGCCTCTTTGTGAGCAGTGGTCCTAAATTGGCAACACAGCTTGCCTCAGAGGACTGTGGTGGTGCTCCAAGAGAGTGTCGGTAACCCTGAGTTATTGTCATTGTCATAATTCGGGACGGCGCGGAACGAGGACGGTTTTGTTACGGAAGAAAGCGGTATTTTACCTGTAATCAAGGGCGAACGAACATCCATCTAAGTTTTACCCCTATTCCTCTCGCTCGAGCACCCCAAAGCACCAGTAGATTTAGGTGTGTTGTACTGTGCCTTTTGTGTGTCTGGGGAGCGAAGGGGGCGGGTGTGCGCTGACGTGAACAAACCGGGCGATCGAGGCCGCGTGGTGCTTCGGTTTCAACCATTTTAATTTTCGAGACAACATGAGGTTCCTTTGTTAGGCCCAGCGCGATGTGATGTAGTCGCAGCCGATGGCGGTTAGCTATCCCAGCCCCTCACCCTTGGTGGACCACGAGTGTCCACGACCCAACCAAAGGGGCCACAGCACAAAGTGCATGTACCCCCCTCCCCTCTCTCGACAAGAGATGCACAGCAGCCTTGCAATCAATCCTTCATTCACACGCGTGCTCATGCTTTCAAGATTCTGCGTTCCGGAACGCCCCGGGGGAAAGGACATCTCCGCTTGCACGTCTCACAGACCTGACGGCCCGCGAGTCCGCTGGTGGGATGGACGAAATAACCTCCGCCGGTTCCGTTCCGATGATTGCCAGTAGTGGTGTCGAGAGGAAAGGAAGCATCGCCAAGAGTGCTTCCCCCACACGGCGAGTTGGAACAGCCACCCCCCGAGGTGTCCTGCTCCTCCTTTCGACTCATGACCCGAAAGTAATCACACCTTTTTTCAACAACCCACGTTTGGAGGTTTCTTTTGTGTTTATCGAGTCGAGAGGTGTTGAGGTTGGATTGTATCGCAGCTTGCCTCGGGCAACCGTGCTGGAGTTTCGAGGTTGGATTGCCGGTGATACAACCGTGCAATCAAGATAATAAGGGTTCCCTTATCTTGATGGTGTGCCGTGTACCACTCACTGCTGTGCGGTGCAAAGAGATTGAAGAACCAAGGCCCCTCGGATTCCATACCAAAACACCAGTACAGACCACCAGCACCATTGCTTTCATAAGCTCAGCTTCCGCTTTGCTAGCGCCCCCTATTATAGTACGAAGGGGTTATTGTGCGTGTTCCCTCCCTTCTTGTAGTGCGATGTCGAAAAGTCCTCCTTTTTTAAGCCAGCTCAGGTTGAGCGTGTTGATGGGTATTTCGTACTGTAGAGCTGAGGCACGAGCCCGTTCCTTTTGTCTCGGATCGAACTCGCGACGAAACAAACAAAACACGGAACAGCGCTCGCAATAAAACGCTAAACATTTATTATGCATAGACTACGGCAATACAAAAACATCGGATTCCATCAACAGAAGAAAACACTCAACTCTAAAACAACGGACGGAATTAAACGGCTGACTATAATAATCTGCTCTACACATACAGAAAACTATAACGACGAGAGAGTGGCGTCAACACAAATCAGGAAAACTTGCCTCACACCACACACGTATCTGTCACGTAGTGCGCTCTTCTTACAGTAGTACATGCCGTAAGCGGTCGCGATTTAGAAACCAGGACTCAGCTTTTTGGCTTTTTGTGACAAATAAGAAAAATCGTGTAAGAAACACACCTACCTCGGCCGTGGATCCACACTAAAAAACTCTTTAATCTAATGACCTATGGTGGACGGCGGTGACGAAATGAGAAATGGAACCTCGACACCAAATTAGCACTAAAACCGTACTCTATACAGCCAGGTATAGGTCTTTCAAGACCGCTGGTGGGGGATGTCGTTCAAAGCAGGTGACAACGACCTCCCTCAGGATGCCCATTATCCCCTCTCCCGCGAAGCTGGTGCAGAACAGCAGGGGGTATCCTTGTTCTTCACACCACCCGCGAACTCCCTGGAAAACGAAAGAAAAACATCAACAACGTAAAGGCGGACAAAGCCACAGCAGTGTATCATGGAGTCTGTATGCCTGACGAGGTTCGGCTTACCCACAACAAAATGCATTACAAACATATATCCAGCAATAGCAGGCATGAGCACGTACGTACTGTAGTACTTGGTCCGATTGCACGAGGTGATGCAGGTGAAAGCGGCGCATCTCATCCACGTGCTACACCCACCCCGCTCTGTCCAATCCATCATCATGTCATGTCAGCGAGCTCCTCCAATCCGCCTGCATTGCAGGATGCCTTTCAACATGCGGAAGGAGCCCTGAGTGGTCTACCCCTTCCTCACCTTGAGGAAGCAGCATCTTGATGCCGGGGAAACGTCTATCTTCGTTCCGACGACGATGAAGTGGGGCGGCCGTGCTTTACTACCGGAACACGCTAATTCAGAGTAGACCCGACGGGTGAGCGACGGGCAGGCACGACGACAAATAATCAAAGGTACATCTCTAATCTATCTCTAGAATTAGGAAAATTGATGGATGTGCCAACGAAATGGGACATGGCACGTTTGAAGCAAGGCAAACAAAAAGGAAAAATTCTTCTTGGAAACTGGGCGAAGGCTACACATACGCGCACGGGACCACATCCTTTCCAATGTAACCGGACGGACGGGTGGCTTGTGAACAACCGCAAGGAACTGTTCGAACGCTCGGCATTCCCCGCGATGCACATAGAGACAAGGGACCTCAGTATTGTGCCGCCGGTGTTTTGGGACGGGCACAGACTGAATCACCAAGTCATTCAGTACTTTGAATGCCGATCCCTCTGAATGGTGCCGGTATGCTGGTCTGGTCCATACCGGCACTACTGAGGGCCCCCCACTGTAGGTGACATCATCTCATCGGAAGAGACACGGCCAACGAACGCCTTTGTGCGTTCGTTGACTCCCCGCCAGGAACGAAAGACGGGCCATGCACACAAACACTTGTGCGTGTTGAACACCCCCGAGATGCCTTGAGACGACTGCTGAAAGCAGCTGATCACCTACGACGGCGTTTTCCTCTGTACTAACGTTGTACCCAACATTTGATGATCTAGATGGACCTTTCGTCTTTCTCTCATCCACTGACAAAATGAGCGTGTTGCCGCAATTTAGAACTCTGAGCCACCTGCTGTCGGTTTTGCGGTGATATTGCAACATATTTTTCATGAACACATGTTCGAGAAAGGCTCCGGTCTTCTAGTCTACACTTCAGCGGACGAGAATGAGATGTGATAAAAAAAAGGAAGACCTCTCTTAGTATGTAGTATTTATTGTTCCTCACCCTCTGTCACCAATGACTGCCACCTCTTGGCGACTCTAAATGAGTTTCTGTCGTCGAGATCCAAGAGCAGGAGTGCGCAGCTCGTTTCAGCCGCAATCTCCGGACCCAAGGACGTCTTTGCCGAAGCAGGAATATCCCAGATCTGGTATTCGGGAAGGCACAGGAATCGCTAGAGTTTCGGACGGATGAAGTGCAAGTACTGGATGCCAATGCGGTTGTTCCGATAGGGGTTTTCTCCTCAACTGACGCTGGAAGTCGAAACAGTCCAATGAGAGGAACCACTGGTTTTGTCCAGAACTCGTGCGAAAGCAAGACCAAGACGAACCCCACTATCAGCAACGCGTTCTGAGGAAAACCCTCGTGGTAAGACCCACTGCTTTCCCGGACGTTGCTTCGACAAGTACTACATACATATTCTAGTGGCCAGAGGTGTAGGTTGTGCACCAATCACAGGCTGCCAAGGGTTGGGTGGGGAGGTTGAGAGGCCAGGATCGACCTCCGACATATTTTTTCGTCTGAATACTGCCAGCCCACCGTGTCAGTCACTCTCCAAAATGCGGGAATACTTGCCCACTTCGGGGTGCCGCCCCCCCCCCCTCAAGCTGTAATCGGTGCCCAACCTTCCAAAACCTGTATGTAGTAGGTCTACAGAGTCTAACCTCGAGCACGGCGGGAGGGAATTTGTCGCGGCTAAAGCTCCTCGCGGAGACAGAAACGGCCGTGTCAGGCGAGTACTCCGGCAGAAACCCTTTGCCGCACAGGGCCCGGGCGAGGGCCGTTTTCCCCACCCCGTTGTCCCCCAGAACTAGTATCTTGAAGAGCGCGGAGGGAGGCCGTCCGGCGACTGTCCACGCCGCACCTAAGGGACGCCAAAGAGTCGAGCAGCACATCAATCACACTGACAGGTGGCTCATGGCTCAGTCTTAGGAAAACCGTAGGCCAGGGTGTTGCTGTAGCTGCACGCGTGAGTGCCCATTAGGTACAACATAGTGCGCGGAGACCAGGTTTTCACCGCTAGTTCTCCGAAGAGAATATCAATCGGAATGAGGGAGCCACGGAGTAGAGCTACGTGATGTCTCCTCTGCGGACATTTTCTCGTACGCCGAAAGCATGCATCGTTTGCTGAACTTGCGGCATGGAGAATGGCGCGACTATAGACTGAAGATAGCGTTGCTTACGGGTTTGCCAAGGGTAGCGCAGCTCGTCCGCCCATCGCCTCTCTCTCAGAAACGCTACGTGCTTGGCCAGCATCCAAGGGAAGAATACTGCGGCTTTGATACGACCGCACACACCGCTCTACAAAGGGGGGGGGGGGAGGGGGGGGGAGGGAGAGCCGAGAGACAGACATACAAAAACGGCGGGTGAATAGGTAGGTGCATAGACAATGAAAAACAAACGAGGGGCATGGTAGAAATAGAGTAGGCCATGAGGTTGGATCAAGTCAGAGTATGCAAGAGAGAGTGAGAGAGAGGGTGCGAGATAGAGTGAGAGAGAGGGTGAGAGAGAGAGAGAGAAGAGACAGAACGCAAGAAAGTGGCCAAGGAAGTGCTCATTGGAAGGGCTGGTCTACAACTGTAGTGGACACGTGGGCACGCCCTTTTGACCAGTAAGGGCCCCAAGGACGTGCGTGGGACCTGCAAGACCCTCAAGATTAAAGTTCGTATTAAAGTAGTACAATAAATAGTAGTATTGGCTTTCTCGGTGATGGGGACAGCCTATTTTCAATAGCGCGTGAACATCACCAGCATGGCCTGTGCACGTAGCCAGAAAGAACGGCGACAATCGAGTCGAGAACTAGGGTACATCCACTCACCAAACCCTCCTCTGTCCGCATCACCAGCTATGAGGCTAGTACAACAGAAATTACACGTATGGAAATACGTGGTTCTTAAGCCTGTGCAGCGTTATTTGTTGTTCTGACGAAGGGTGAACTTGTCTTCAACATGGTAACAGCTGTCCTACCAGGTGTGTGTATAACCACAGAACAGGCTTTTCGTTCGGTTGGTTGGTTGGATTTCAGGCACCCTGCTTGGCCTCCACACGGTTAGGTATGTAGACTACAGTCTATCATTTGGAAAACGTTACATACATGGCACCAATGCACCTACTTTATTCTTCAGTGTCGACTCCACAGGGTACAGCTCCGTGAGCTGCTTGTGCTGTTCGGAAGCTCGACAGGGTAGCGCGAACGGGAGGAAGCCCATTGTCAGGCAAATTCTCCACCCCTTCCTCCCAAGAGGCACACGGCCCCATCGATCAGGTTCTAATTCATCATCATCCGTATCTCCTGCACTCTGCTGCCCTTGTTCAGGAGTAGAGCCCTGGGAAGCCGTTCCGTCACCTTTGAGCAGGCAGCGCGAAAGGCAAATCCATATGCAAAGGGACAGGGCAAAAAGATTTGTAAACGCCAAGCAGATGAGCGCGCCTCGATGCCCCTTCGAGAGATATGATAACCAAGACCCGTGTGGTGGTCAGCGGGGAGAGAACCATGAACTTGTCCCCGCAGCAGAATTCAGATACCTCTCAACCTTGGCTACCCTGGTCACACGCAATGCAGTACAACTACAGGTGGTACTGCTGTAAGTGCCTCGCTGGACGTTAGATATATCTGGTACAAGAAGAGGCTGGTCTTTTACTAATTAATAGTTGTTACGGAAGGTTTTCTTATCGAACCTTCATTGCCCTTTGGGTTGTTGGAAAGCTTCTTCTTCTTCTCTCTTGGCAAGCAAGAGCAGCACGGGAATTCGGACTCCTCTTCCCTGTTGCTTATCGTCTCGAACTCTCCTGCGTTCAAGCAGCAGCAGCAGATCCGCAGGCTGCATGGTGCGCTGCCGGGCAGGCCGATCGGGATCTCGTCAAAGTCGCCGACGTATTGGTCTGGTGATAGCTTGGGCTGTGCGTACACACCTTTCCCCCTTGTTGCCGCTGCATCTTCATCTTGCTTCCGACGCTTCCGGCGGCCACGGCCCCCTATCTTGTTGGCTGTGTGTGGTGTACAATAGTGTGTTAGTGTGTCGTCGACAAGTATGCGTTCAGAACAGATGGTGCGTAGCATCTACATGTATCTACACTTTTGAAGTTTTACTTATACCCCACCTTTGTGACCCCGGCCTCCCGATCAACGTAATGCATGTTATTTAGTGTACATGTACTGTAGTCTACATTGTACAGCAGGTCGTACCGCCGTACGGTCGTACCGCCGCACACCGAAATTGTGTGCACCAATGGATAGGACGAACTGTACACACACACTTCCATTGGCTAGCTGGTTACCGCAGTCGATGCTATAACCTAAGCCACGCACATGTTCTGTCCGACACTATGGACACATACATACAACGTGAGAACCTTGTTCCTCCCCTGCATACATCTCCTCGGCCTCGGAGAGTAAACGGCCGTACACCGTCAGCAACGGTGCTTAAATAGTCTATGGCAGTGCAGTCTACCTACCTTTCACCATCCTTGAGCACCAGACGCGGGCGAGCGTACAGAGGGGTGGCGAACTTGCGCTCGCGCGCTGCTCGTATGTCTCCCCCCCCTCGTTCTGTTGTCTGGTTGCCCGTCGGCTCTGTGTGTGTCAGTTACAGGAACGCCATTCCCTGATCATCGAGCATTTGGTGACCCCGACCCCCCCCCCCCCCCCAGATTTTGGAATTTTTTGTTACGACTTTTGACGACGAATTTGAAATTTGAATCAAGTCATTTGGCGCTCCTGTGGCCATTGTTGCTGTTGCTGCTGGCCGCCCTCCTTTGGCTGTGCGCGACCTCGGAGCTATGGAAGTCCCCGCAGTGGACGTGGCGAGCGCCTTGAGAGAGGCGGCGGCCTTGGAGGAGAAGAAGCTGAAGGATAAGCAGCAGGCTGAAGCCGACAACGCGCTCGCTGAGGAGGTGCAATTTTGAGTCCGACGAGAGTGCATGCATGCATCGTAGTCTATGCGAGTTGACTGCAAGACAAATCCGTCGAGTTTGCGTGTCGGCCATGTGTAGATTTCGTCCTTCATCGACAACGCGATGGACATAGTCAACTGTTGGAGTGGCCGTGCATTGGCCATTTCTGCCCTTAGTCGGCTAAGTTTTGTTGACTTTTTGTCATCGACTACTGTTGCAATGGACTGGACTGCTGAACAAATGCGGTGCGGTATTTTACAGAGAGTCCGCTGCGGTGTTCAGCAGTAGTATGTGGGCGACGGCGGTGCATACTCCCTATATCGCTCCCAAACTCTGATGCTCCTATGCTCTCCTCCTGACACCACTCCAACCCCGCACGACGTGAACGTGATACTTTGGGACCGCCTAATTTGCTGGGCGGGGGGGGGGGGGGGGGGGGGGTTTTAACCACCCCTGGGGGGGGCCCCCCGGCCCACTTTTTGTTTTTTAAACCCAAAAAAAGGGGGGGAAACTTTTCCCGATTTTTGCCCCCCACCGGAAAAGGGAATGGGGAAATTTTTTTTTAAGTGGGTTTTTAGCGGC